GAAACTCTGGATTCTGATAGAGGGCACTGAGACTTAAACCTGAGCCCAAAAATGGAGGCTCTAGACCCTTCCAGAGCTGAGATATCGAAACTCAAAATTTCGACCCGAAAAAAAAAACGACAGTGTACCCCTTACGTTTTTTTTTTGGGCGAAAAATTAAGTTATCCCCAATCTTCTCGAACTCTGGATTCTGATAGAGGGCACTGAGACTTACACCTGAGTGCAAAATGGAGGCTCTAGACCCTTCCAGAGCTGAGATATCGAAACTCAAAATTTCGACCCGAAAAAAAAAACGACAGTGTTACCCCTTACGTTTTTTTTTTTTTGGGCGAAAAATTAAGTATCCCCAATCTTCTCGAAACTCTGGATTCTGATAGAGGGCACTGAGACTTAAACCTGAGTGCAAAAATGGAGGCTCTAGACCCTTCCAGAGCTGAGATATCGAAACTCAAAATTTCGACCCGAAAAAAAAAAACGACAGTGTTACCCCTTACGTTTTTTTTTTGGGCGAAAAATAAGTATCCCCAATCTTCTCGAAACTCTGGATTCTGATAGAGGGCACTGAGACTTAACCTGAGTGCAAAAATGGAGGCTCTACACCCTTCCAGAGCTGAGATATCGAAACTCAAAATTTCGACCCGAAAAAAAAAACGACAGTGTTACCCCTTACGTTTTTTTTTTTGGGCAAAAAATTAAGTTTCCCCAATCTTCTCAAAACTCTGGATTCTGATAGAGGGCATGAGACTTAGACTGAGTGCAAAAATGGAGGCTCTAGACCCTTCCAGAGCTGAGATATCGAAACTCAAAATTTCGACCAGAAAGAAAAAAACGACAGTGTTACCCCTTACGTTTTTGGGGGGGGGCCGAAAAATGAAGTTTCCCCAATCTTCTCAAAACTATGGATTCTGATAGAGGGCCATGAGACTTAGACCTGAGTGCGAAAATGGAGGCTCTAGAACCTTCCAGAGCTGAGATATCGAAACTCAAAATTTCGACCAGAAAAAAAAAACGACAGTGTTACCCCTTACGTTTTTTTGGGGGGGCCGAAAAATTAAGTTTCCCCAATCTTCTCAAAACTCTGGATTCTGATAGAGGGCCATGAGACTTAGACCTGAGTGCAAAAATGGAGGCTCTAGACCCTTCCAGAGCTGAGATATCGAAACTCAAAATTTCGACCAGAAAAAAAAACGACAGTGTTACCCCTTACGTTTTTTTTGGGGGGGGGGGGCGAAAAATTAAGTTTCCCCAATCTTCTCAAAACTCTGGATTATGATAGAGGGCCATGAGACTTAGACCTGAGTGCAAAAATGGAGGCTCTAGACCCTTCCAGAGCTGAGATATCAAAACTCAAAATTTCGACCAAGAAAAAAAACGACACTTGTACCCCTTACGTTTTTTTTTTCGGGGCGAAAAATTAAGTTTCCCAATCTTCTCAAAACTATGGATTCTGATAGAGGGCCATGAGACTTAGACCTGAGTGCGAAAATGGAGGCTCTAGACCCTTCCAGAGCTGAGATATCGAAACTCAAAATTTCGACCAGAAAGAAAAAAACGACAGTGTTACCCCTTACGTTTTTTGGGGGGGGGGCCGAAAAATGAAGTTTCCCCAATCTTCTCAAAACTATGGATTCTGACAGAGGGCCATGAGACTTAAACCTGAGTGCAAAAATGGAGGCTCTAGACCCTTCCAGAGCTGAGATATCGAAACTCAAAATTTCGACCCGAAAAAAAACCCGACAGTGGTACCCCTTTCGGGGTTTTTTTCGGGCGAAAATTAAGTTTCTCCAATCTTCTCAAAACGATCAGAGAAACTCAAAATTTCGACCCAAAAAAACCCTGTCATTGTTACCCCTGTCGGGTTTTTTTTTTTTTGGTGCGAAAAAATAAGTTTGTCCAATCTTCTTGAAACTCTGGATTCTGATAGAGTTCCACGGGACCTGAGTGCAAAAATGGAGGCTCTAGACCCTTCCATAGTTAAGATATTGAGATCCCACGTAGCATTTATGCCATTATAAATATCTCAATATCTCAGCTCTGAAAGGGTCTAGAGCCTCCATTTTTGCACTCAGGTCTAAGTCCCATGGCCCTCTATCAGAATCCAGAGTTTCAAGAAGATCAGAGCAACTCAAAATTTCTACCCGAAAAAAAACGACCCTGTCGGGTTTTTTTTGGTGTGAAAAAATAATTTTCTCCAATCTTCTTGAAACTCTGGATTCTGATAGAGGGCCATGGGACTTAGATCTGAGTGCAAAAATGGAGGTTCTAGCCCCTTCCAGAGCTGAGATATTGAGATATTTATAATGGCATAAATGCTATGCGGGATCTCAATATCTCAGCTCTGGAAGGTGTTGTGTGAAATGATGCAATTTATTTTATGATAACTATATGTAAACTGCTTGTAAAGACTTTATAACCAGTCTTTTATGTAAAACAGCTTTTATATGAAACAATATGTAAACTGCTTGTAAAGACTTTATAAACAGTCTTTTATGTAAAACAGCTTTTATAAAACCATATATAAAGGCATTATGGATAGTCTTGTGTTATAGTTTTTATAAGTAAACTGTTTATAAGAAAGACACAGAAACATATTGTAACACATATTTATTGGTTTTATAAGAAAGACACAGAAACATATTGTAACAAATGTTTATTATAAGAAAGACACAAAAATATGCAATGTAACCAGTATTATGCATGTGAGTAGTAATGGAAAAAAATGTATTACCTTAATAGTGTGTTCTAGACTAAAAGGAGAAGGAGGCTGAGAAACCGTGCGAGGAGAAGAAAGATCAAGATAAAGAAGGCCTTTTATAGGAGATTGTTGAAGGGTTTAAAAGAGTTAAACTTGGATCCAGGACTAGGATTGGACAGTTTGTGCATATGACTTGATTATGTAAGAGAGAGGTGTGACATGTAAATGTATTATAAAATGTACATTGAAATGTATGGGGTTAGACTCTGGAAACTGGACCAGACTCTCCATTGTTTGATGATCCAAGCGAGATACCTGCTGGTGTAACTTGTGAACTGCATTTATTGTACTAATTTTGTTAAACTGTCTGAAAGAACAACTTTGGAAAACTCTATACAATAAAAATACAAATAATAGATAAAAGAAGTTTGCCTGCCAAGAGTCTCTGCTTGCAGTAAAGAACTTAGCCACGGAGGGGTCTTTCTACTGGGGTGTAAGTATGAATTTGTGTACTTAATATCTAATGTAGAATTTGACCATCTTTACCTTACCTGAGAATAAACAAAATAAGGTAGAAGGTAAATGATTTATAACTAGGATACTAGGATATATCTAATACCATAAAACAAAGGGTCTAGAACCTCACTCATGTCTAAGTCCCATGGCCCTCTAACAGAATCCAGAGTTTCAAGAAGATCAGAGAAACTCAAAATTTCGACCCCCCCCCCCAAAAAACGACAGTGGTACGCCTTTGGTTTTTTATTTTTCGTGCAAAAAAATAATGATAGAGGGCCATGGGACTTAGACCTGAGTGACAAAATGGAGGCTCTAGACCCTTCCAGAGCTGAGATATTGAGATTTTTATAATGGCATAAATGCTATGTGGGATCTCAATATCTCAACTCTGGAAGGGTCTAGAGCCTCCATTTTTGCACTCAGGTCTAAGTCCCATGGCCCTCTATCAGAATGCAGAGTTTCAAGAAGATCAGAGAACCTCAAAATTTCGACCCCCCAAAAAAAAACCACAGTCGTACCCCTTTCGGTTTTTTTTTGGTGCGAAAAAACAAGTTTCTCCAATCTTCTTGAAACTCTGGATTCTGATAGAGGGCCGTGGGACTTAGACCTGAGTGCAAAAATGGAGGCTCTAGCCCCTTCAAGAGCTGAGATATTGAGATATTTATAATGGCATACATGCTACGTGGGATCTCAATATCTCAGCTCTGGAAGGGTCTAGAGCCCCCATTTTTGCACTCAGGTCTAAGTCCCATGGCCCTCTATCAGAATCCAGCGTTTCAAGAAGATCAGAGAAACTTATTTTTTCGCACCAAAAAAAAAAACGACACTGGTACCACTGTCGGGTTTTTTTTTTTTTGGGGGGGGGGGGGGTCGAAATTTTGAGTTTCTTTACCAACTTCTATATACAAAGTTAACTTTACAAACCTTAACCAGTGTGCCTATTATTTTTTTTTTTTTTATGTTTTCTTATACTGGTTCTGGTTTCGGCATATTAAATTATAAAGTTATGAAGGAAATCATCCATTTGTAATACAATTGTACTTTATTGTTTAGATTGATACACATCCAGTAGATACACACATACTTTTAAAACAATCAAATCACTCACAGGTATGTAAAAGTAAAAGAGCATGAGAAGTGATTATATGGTCTGACAGAGACTGATCGTGTTACATACTGACTAGTATAAGGTGCTATGGTGACAATACAAGTTCCCATATTTGTATAGATTCATAAAGAAGAACAATAATGATGGTTATAGATTTGTATAGATTCTAGTCTAACATAGTAACTTACACAGTCAACAACTCCATATTACAGCTACTACCTCGCATGCATACTTCCGGGTGAGTGTACCCCTTAGCGGCGTTCCGTTTTCAAAATGGCCGCCAGGTGAATAAGGCGAATAAGCTGCAAATGGACAGAAGCCCGTCTGCAATCTATTGAATGGGGTAGTGTGTTTGATAGACATTTTAATTAAAGCTGCTGTCATGATAAGAACTATTTTACTGCACTCAGGAGGCCCCCCGGGGTCCGTAGATCCGTAGATCTGATCTCAAGAAGTGGGATCTCAATATCTCAGCTCTGGAAGGGTCTAGAGCCTCCATTTTTGCACTCAGGTCTAAGTCCCATGGCCCTCTATCAGAATCCAGAGTTTCAAGAAGATTGGAGAAAATTATTTTTTCACACCAAAAAAAAAACCGACAGGGTCATTTTTTTTCGGGTCGAAATTTTGAGTTGCTCTGATCTTCTTGAAACTCTGGATTCCGTCAGTGTGTGTGTGTGTGTGTGTGTGTGTGGGGGGGGGGGGGGGTCTACAGCACTTTTGGTAAAAATAGTGGGTTATTGGACAAATAGTGGTTCCGTGGGATGGGGGCGTGGCCCGGGAGTGGGGGCGTGGGTCTACAGCACTTTTGGTAAATATAGTGGGTTATTGGACAAATAGTGGGTTCGTGGGATGGGGGCGTGGCCCGGGAGTGGCTGGGGGCGGGTCCCGGCACGTTTGCCCATTATAGTGGGTTATTGGACAAATAGTGGGTCTGTGGTATGGGGGGGTGGTGGGGTTTCTCTCTCCGGCGCCAACTAGAGGCATCCGAATAATTAAATCGTGGGTAGTCCTATAAGGCCCACTCCCCACCAAGTCTATAGGAGAGAGGGCATCCCACGAACTCCTACGATCCCTCTGGGCCATTATGCAACCAATGGCAGCTTATTAATATGGGTTTTTGTCCACGAACCCCCGGTTTGGACTAACTCTAAAAATCCAGGATAATATGCACCTTGAAAAGCTGCATGTTTGAACTGTGTAAGTCTCAGTGTAGTTATCAATGTCTTGAGAATGTAGATGTTTAGATGAAGTCAAGGTTTCTCAGCGGTCTTTTACCAAGATGTTTGCGACTCCATGCACCTGAGTGAGCTGAGGACAGTCAAGTGTTGCTAGAAGCTTCTGTGAGCCGGGGCGATTGGGAACTAATGTCTCCGTCAGACTCATTGTGGCTTGGCCTGCGATATCACTGAGAGAAAATATGAAACATAAATATATAAAATAGTATGACAAATTTGTCAGCATATTGAGTAGTTTTACTTGGATTCAGTTATTTTATTTGTGATAATAATGCAATGAAACATGCCAAGCAGTCATACAAAGAAATTATGAACACATGCAAAAATGAGTTAAATGTTGTAGTCAGTTATGTATGTTTTTTTGTTTTTCTATTCTTTTTGTGCAGAGTAGAATAAATTCTGTAGCTGTAGTTTGCCTAATAATTTTGTCAGATAAATACCTTAACCAACTTTAGTGTTTTGTTCTTCCCTCATACTTAATTAAATATTGGGAAATATTTTATATTTTTTGACTATATATATATATATCAACATATCATTTATAATCAACATCAAATTTTAATGCATGAAAAATACATAGTCTCCAATGAAGGACCCAGAGTTTTTAATGAATCGACTGAAACGGACTTTGGTGAACAGAACTAATTCACACAAAAATGAATAAAACTTCGGAAATCATTTTTTGCTATTGAAGTTTAAATCAGAGAAAGTGATCTCTGAACTCGTTCATCAAAATGAATGAATCTTTTTTCGTGTCATTTGGTTCATTCAACGAACGAAATGAACGAGTTGACTCGGGAAAAGATTTGTTCATTTTGCTGAACGATTTCGAACAGGAGAGTCACGAAAGCGCATCACAGAACAGAGCAAGGCGAGCATTTGAGCTTATAAAACTTAAACTTTTTAATTTATTTTTTAAATGAGCGATCGTTTCGCTTGATAAGACCCTTATTCATCGTCTGGAATCATTTAAAGCCTTTTGAACAGTTTGCACTGAAACTGTCTTTTGGACCTTGAACCGTTTGGTTCCCATTGAAGTCCATTATATGGAGAAAAATCCTGGAATGTTTTCATCAAAAACCTTAATTTCTTTTCGACTGAAGAAAGAAAGACATGGACATCTTAGATGACATGGGGGTGAGTAAATTTTCAGCAAAAGTTTTTTTAAAAGTGAACTACTCCATTAAAAGTAACTAACCGTAGCTCTATAGTAAGTACGTGTAGTTCATTAATATTACTCAGAACTCATTTGAGTAAGCACACCGTGTAACCAAACCTTTTTTTTAAAAACAGCAAAATCATAGTGAACATTCATTGAAAAAAGCACTTCATAAGAAAACAATCCGATTGATTGAAAGTCTTACCCGTAGTGAGTGGTTTTGACGTTCCGCATTCCCAGTCCCTCGATCCGGATCACGACGTCCTTCAGCACACGGGGCAGCGGGTTCTGGAATTTGATCTTGACCGTCAGCTCTCTGCCCACTACAGCATCACACACAGGCTGAGAGAGAAAATCACATCAATGCAACATCGTCCGCTGGGTAATATTGTCAGTCCGCAGGAGTGGTGTAAACTCACAGCGATGATGAGGTCTGGTGTGCGCAGTCTGAAGTTGAACTGTTTGGCCAGAGCTTGTTTGGTCTCAGTGACCCGTCCCGAGAGAGTGAGCACCAGAGCCGACTGACCCCGCAGCTTCTCCTGATATTCCTCATAGCGCAGGGTCCAGTCCAGAGACCGCACTACACAGCCGAAACATTCATGAGACTCCAGACACACACCACCATTTAAAATATACGACTATATTAATAAGAACAATTGGTTACAACTACCATATCAGTTACTGAATTGCATTGGTTTTGTCTTATTAGCAAGTTATTTATTTATAAGTCTATACTATAATATAATGTATTACTTGTATTTTTAATATAACTTTTTGTTTTAGTAATTAGTGTTTTAAAATATTTTTAAATAGGTTTGATTAACTGTTATGTATTGCTGCAGTTGTAGTTTTAGTAATTTTAGATCTTTTTCATCTTTATTACTTCAAGTTTATCTTAACACTTTGTGTTATCATATTAATAATAATAATAACAATATTTGGTTGCAAGTACAACACAAAACAATTACCATTATTGTTACCATTGTGTTAATACAATATAAATATTAGATACACTTAAAAAACTGAAATGAAAATCAACTGAAATTATTTTAGTTATTTATTGTTAAAATAGCGTTATTATTATTAATTAATATGTATAATTATATAATATAATTATATAACACTAAAGTGTTAATAAATTAATTATAATAAAAACAATATTTGGTTACAAGTACCATATAACTTGTTGAATTAAAATAGAATTAATAACCAGTATTAGTAGTATTATTATAGTATTTACTGTTTTTAATTGGCTTGTATTTATATTTTCTGTTTTTAAATTAATTTTAAAAGTTTTGTCGTGTGCTTTTGTCCTTTCTATTTGTTTGTTTGTTTCGTTTTTCATCTAATACTTATAATGATAATAAAACGTAGTTACTAGTATCATCTGGGTTGTTGAATTAAATGGAATCTTTGTAGAATTAAAAAGATTTAGTCCTATTTTACTAGTCTACAACACTCTACCAGTGTTACTTTAATATTATTTATATACTATTATACTATGTATTAATATTTGTAATATTTAAGTTTTTTTATTTTTTTTTAAGTTCTTTGTTGTGGTTTTACTTTGATATTATTTTGATATTTATAGTAAGTTATTTAGCTTTGATTAAGTGTTATTGCAGTTGTAGTTTAGTACTAAAATAAAATAAAAAATGAAAATATATAATTAAAGACATCCAAAGAAGTTTCGATTTTTGTAATTGCTGTGTGTCTTTTCATTGTTATTGTTTTGTTTGAATTAAAGATATAGACAAAATATATCTGGAAAAAAACAGTGTTATTGCAGTTGTAATTTTCTTTTAAGTTAAAGTGTTTCATCTAATAATTTATCTAATATTTCATCTTCAGATTTATTTCAATTAGCAAAAAATGACTAACAATTGTTAAGTCTCATCAAATGTCTCATGTGTTGTTGTTTTGCTGCTGAGATGATCATCTCTCACCTTCGTGGGGCTTGAGCTCAACACTGGTCTGGTCCTTCTTCAGGACGATCTTGTCGGTTGTCACCTGGCTGTGGAGATCAACACTGCGAGGAGCGCTGCTGCTGTTCTTCAGAAGGATGGACAGCTCAGCGTCCTGACCAACACATGGTCCATCGCCCCGCATGGACACGTCCAGAGTCACATCACCGGCACCGGTGGGAGAGTAGGCGGACCGCTTGGAGCCGAAGCTACAGGCCGCTTCCACAGCGCTGCGCTCCTCCGAAGAACCTGATCAGTGAGAGTGCAGGGGTAATTATAAGCACAGTTAAAGTTTTAATGTTGTTATTATGTCTGTGTGGTGTTTTTAATATTCTTTAAGACAAACCATATACAAATTCACAGTCGTGTTATTAAATGTTATTATTGTTTTTTGAATTTTCACAATGCTTTATTTTAGTGCTGTCAAATCAAATGATCATGATTAATCACATCACAACATAAAAACGTGTAAATATATTATACATATAAATGTGTAAAAAATATTATATTTGAGTGTGTGTGTGTGTGTGTGTGTGTGTGTGTGTGTGTGATATATATCACACTCATATTTAATTTTTTTTTTTACAAATTTTCATGTTAGATGTGATTAATCACGATTAATCGATTTGATAGCACTTCTTTTTGTATAAAGTTTTAAATTTTTGAAGTACATTTTAAAATTGTGCTTTATAAATACATTTGAATTTGATACTGATACATTATAGTATTTATATATATATATATATATATATATATATATTAGAAGAGACAATGTCAGTTTTTTTGGTACAAGAAAAAATATTTTGATTATAAAATTATGTATTTTTAAAATTAAGCATTTCAAAAGCATGTAAACATTTCTGTCACGTTTAAGTGCAAACCTTATCACACCTGTCGTCATTATCTAATGTGTATTTTCACCTTCTGGGTGTTTGTAGAGGTGTGTGATGTCCACACGTTTGTCTGAGCCAACATCTTTGGTGCTGATGCAGTGACCCACTGCGCTCTTGTCAACCCGAATCACATCGAAGGTCCCGTCAGTTTTGCGCTGCCAGTAGACTTTATCGCTGTTCACCTACAACACAAAGAGACAGATATTTAGTACTAGCACACCATATTATAAAACTACGTGGTCAGATTATATGACAGATATGCTAAAACATCAGATATCATTAAATATGAAACATAAATAGGAAAGTAATTAGCATACTTCAGCAAAAACGAAGCCTGTGTCATATTTGTGGAAGGTCTGTCCACTGCGGACCGCAGCAACAGATGTTGGGCCACAGCGGAAGACGCCCTGGCTGGTCTCCTGAGGAGTGGCATCAACCACCTGCCAACCTCCAAAACCAGACGGCAGGTCGGGACGAGCCATCCAGGCCTCATTCCACACGTGGAAGTTCCTACATAGAGAAAAGCAGCAACTTTAAAGGAATAGTTCACCAAAAAATAAAATTGTACTCACCCTCAAGCCATCTTAGGTGTATCTTTTTCAGCCGAACACAATCGGAGTGATAATAAATAATATTTAATGGCTTTTCCCAGCTTTGTAATGGCATCGAATAGTGACCGGCTGTTCCTGGAAGCCAGGGATTTTAGTGTTTAAAGTTATAAATATGAATATTTTTCTTACAAAAACCCATCGCTTTGCTTCAGAAGGCATTTATTTTTAAGTCATTGGAGTCACATGGATTACTTATGAGCTTTTTGGAGCTTCAAGAACTTTGCCACTATTCAATGCCATTGCAAAGCATGGATGTTGTTTAATAAAGCTCCGATTGTGTTTGACTGAAAGAAGAAAGTCATACACCTGAGATTTAGGGTGAGTAAATTATGGGGAAATTTTCATACAAATTTTTATGAAACTTTTATGAAATCACAGAGCCTACTGCAGTATCGTGGAAAAGGGAAAATGAGTTTATGCTTAAAATAAAATATTAAAAACATTTTAGCCAGTTGCCAGTTGAAAATTAAATTGATGTAGGCCTACTAAAATAAAAATTAATAAAAACAAATACAATTAGGCTATTAACTAAATTACACACTACTTTAATTCAACTATAGTTAAAGTAGTTTAATTTCAAAATGTGTGTGTGCATATATATAGCCTATATATATATATATATATATATATATATATATATAGCATTGCGACGATAGTAAAATAATACGTGAATACAAAGACATGATCTTACCAGATTGAATCCCGGTTAAGATCTTTAATTTCTTTAAGATTCTCGTCGAAATAAACATCTGTTGTCAAGGAACTGTCAGTGTCATGAGCAGAGCTGAAGTTTGAGACTGGACGTGTGGGAATGCCAAAACACCGACACACTGAGAGAAAAACAGAGAAACATTAACAAAGTGAACAAGATTTCATACATTTCCCAACCTCTCTGGTCCCGTTTCCATTTGGCCTAATAAAAGTGTGATTTATATTTGGATGTTGATACGCAAAAAAGACAAAACTCGTTTGTGAATGGATGTCGTTCTGTTCTGCCTGTCCGCTTCCGTCAAGTTTGTAAAACAAACCCTCGCATTACACTTCAGTTCAGCGGGAGCTCTGGGTCTGGACAGTCACGAAAACTCACAATAAAGGTAATAAGGAAGGCAATTTTCGGAGAGGCTAGCGAGCTAGTGAGCTAGCTTTGAAAGCATTAGATGCCGCCATCCCTTCACTCCAAAGCCACACCTCCTTCAAAACACACGAAAGGAGCAAACAAAAGCGGTTTACTTTTACTTTTTTACTTTTTCAACTTAGTTAAGAGCAGCATTGAGAATGAGGAGTCACGTGCCTATTTGGGCGGGGTCTGAGCCGGTCGGCCATGATGGTAGGTGACGCTATCGGTTACCAGGGTTTTTATCGCAGCAGTTACTTCCAGGCATGGTAAAACAGTGCGGTATTGCGAGAAACTCCTCAACTACCGAGCTAAAAACACACGTAATCAATACTGTTTTGTGTGGGAATCCTACCAACATGGCGGAAAGGGGAGGGGCACTGTAAAAAGACGTCAACTCCTCATTCTCAATACAACTGTAAATAACAAAGAACTGGATGTTTTGAACATTCGTACATTCAGAAATAACGTTGCCATAACTTTATGGTGTGGGGGAAATATATCCAATGATTTCTACGGAAGCAACTTTATATGGATAAACATGCTGACATGATAATATGTTAATGTCAAGTGTAAACAGGGCCTCGATCTTTTAGTGGCAAAACTTTGATTATATTTATTTACTAAACAATGGTCATGATTCAATTCAATTAACCTTTTGGTACTATGCAGAATTGCTAGATATAAATACATGATGTTATTAAATAATCTTCTTTTTATTTAGCTTAATTACAATGATTCACTCTCTATGTTAGACAACAACAGTATAAGCACTTGTAGGAAAGCTGCTTCCATCCTCATGTTATTTTTTTAGGCCCCTATTCTGTATCATTGTCAATAATGCTCAATAAAATATTACGTGTGTTGGTGACTCCAGCAAAGACCCAGCACTGTCCATATTTGACAGGTATTCCTTTAGTGTCGTGGTATTGTTTCAGGATGGCACTGCTTCCACTCCAGGCTGTTGGGGAAAGTCCTCCCTCATAGGTCTTTTGCCAGTTACCCATCAGCACACCTTGATCGTCGTTGGAATTGACCTGACACATTGACGAAATTATGTTATCTGCTTCACGCCATCACGATTCATTGATCATCACTGAGCGACAGACCTTATCAGTCGTCCTTACACAATAACAGAGCATGGAAAAACCCACCATTGGTAAAAAAAAAAAAAAAAAAGAGTTAAGACCTACCATGGCAGACACCACTCTGACTATGTTAATAGGGTCTCCCCATCCCGAGCAAGGACTGCCACTCTTCTCCAACACAAAGAAACAAGCCGCCAAGACTCCTTCATCAAACTGAGCACAGATCAGAGGTTGGAGATTGAAATAAGCACATTACAGAAAATAAAAGTTTGAAATGTTGTCTTGAAAATAACGCAACATGGGTTTTCTACTTCATGGAAATATAGCTCAGTATCTGCATGAAATATATCCCAAGTTTAGGTTCCCAGGACATTTTAGGAATATACATTTTTTGGGTCTCAGAACGTTTTTCCATTTTTACCTCTAAAGTCGGAGAACTGTTCTGCAATCATGATTCAATGTTTCAACAATAATCAGCTTGTATTGGTCCACTGTTAAATTAAGCTTTTACGCATTTGGCAGCCACTTTTATTCAAATTACGATGTTTAAGTAATTTCAACTTCAATTACATTAAGCTGACTTAAAAAAAAGTTTTATCTTGTATAACTTAAATATGTTTTTAAAAAAGTAGAAAATTGCTCTATTCATCTAAATTCATCTAAAATGAAAATTCCAAGAATCAAGATTTCTTGTAAAAATTAACCAGATAATAACAAGAAACCTACATTTCACTCATTAAACAACTAATGAAAACATGCGTTTTTATTTTATTTTATTTTATTTGAAATGTTGAAATTTTACCTGACCAAAATTCCAGGTTCTGGTACCAATCTGTTGCTCTGTTCCATAGTACAGTTTGCCCATATTATTCAGTACATATTCAGTCCTCTCAGCTTCACCATTCATGTACACAGAGTCGTCTGTTAAGAACAGAAAGACAGAGAAAGTTGACATTTCAATGGATTAGCTTCATTCTGTTATTTCACGATTGTCCTATGTAGTAGTAGTAGTAGTAGTAGTAGTAAAAATCTTTATTTGTCCCTTTACAGGGCAATTTAAGTAGCTTCAACCTCACAAAAACAGCAAAACATCAGACATTACACACACCAGAAAAAAAAAACAGAACAAAAAAAAAACAGTCCTGTTACAGACTCCTATAAGCAGTGGTGGAATGTAACGAAGTACAAATACTTTGTTACTTTACTTATGTACATTTTTCACGTATTTTTACTTTACTTAAGTAGAATAAATAGTGCATACTTTTTACTTTTACTTCGTTACATTTTGCAGCAATTATTATACTTTCTACTCCACTACATTTCTACAACTTCTGTTACTTTTTCATTACATTTTCGAATCAGTTTTTCCCCTGACAAAACATAATCTGACCGTCCGTTCGTTGCACGTTCGTTGCACGTTCGTTGCTCGCCAGTGACGTTTGGTTGCCATAGATACAGTATATCAAAACCCGGTTACACTAAATGCGTGTCGCACGCAGTGTGTTTATCGTGCAATTTATACCCGAAAATTTGTTTTTACGTGCATAGGAAACACACCGTTTGTAATATATGTTTGGTTAGGATTATGGCAAGCCAAGAGGTTCAGAATTAACACCATAAATTAATCGCGTTTACTGCCAAACATAGTTATTTACATATAGCCTAGTAAGGATAAGCATGGTGTGCATATTGCCTAATTGCAAGCTTGTTTCAGAAATGGTGACAACAATTTTGTTCTATCATTATTGAACATCATTACAGGAGTATTAGGTTGAATGAGTTAGAATTAAATGTTTTATTAATCATTAGAAAATAGTCATTAAGAGAATACATTTTTATGCAAGTACTTTTACTTTTAGTACTTAAAGTACATTTTAAATCAGGTACTTTTTACTTAAGTATGGTTGTCATTGTGTTACTTCTACTTTTACTAAAGTAAATATTTATCTGGTTATTTTTACTTTTACTTAAGTACTGAGATTCAGTACTTCCTCCACCACTGCCTATAAGATCATCACACATCACACCGTACGACATGGATCTAATAAACGAGGGTACGACATGTATGTAGAGACTGTACGATGATGTCACCTATTGAATCGTAGGCTACGACGCAAGTTAGTTGTAAGAAATGTCATCGGCATGTGCTAGCGGTAAACAAATCGAGCAAAATCAATCGCACTTTGGCAATTGTGATTTTTATGTGCGCTGAAAATAGAGGAGGAAGTGAAAGAGCGTTAGAGCTTGCAACACCAAGGTCATGGGTTCAATTCCCAGGGAAAGCAACAACAGTTAAGAATGTAAAAATGTGTACCTTGAAATTCAATGTAAGTTGCTTTGGATAAAAGCTTTTGCCAAATGCATAAATGTAAAGTAGTTTTAATTTACAGCACCATGACACGTCTGGCATTTCATGTTGCATTTTTATTAGCAAGTACTGTGAGATGATCCTGTCAGAAAATGATCACAGGCTATCATTGTGCGTCATGACGCCCCCCGTCTTTAAATCTCTCTCACTGTACGACGTACGACCACCGCTTAGGAAAAGAAATCGCCACGATTGGTCAACTTTTGTCTGGGACAGCCCAAAATCATACAATGTGTGTGTAGGGTTGGGTATCGAGAATCGAGTATCGATTGGAACCGGGACTAACTTTTCGTTTTTCCCGGAATCGTTCAAAAGTTAAAATTTCAATTCCTAGTTTCGATATTCACAGTCCGCCGAGTGGAAGAAGAAACCGCTGAACAACACCAACGAAGAAGCTTCTACCGGAAGTGTTGGCATAACCGCGCGAGTCGAACATGAGTAGCTTACGTCGGCGGTCCAAAGTGTGGCTTCACTTTTCTAAAAATTAACGAAATCTCGGCAAAATGCAAAATTTGTGACAAGTATTTGTGACAGAATGAGTATTTCCTTCAGAAAGGCCGTTGGTTAACAAGGTTAGCTAAACTTTTTTGACCCTGCCTCTTAAAAGAATCGAAATCGAGAATCGTTAGGAACCGGAATCGAAACAAGGAATCGGAATCGGAATCAGAATCGTTCAAATTCAAACGATACCCAAACCTATGTGTGTGTGTGTGTGTGTGTTAGTTTTAGGTACTGATAGACACACACAGTGTCCCCTTATTTTCTCTCTCTTCAAATAATACCTTTGCACCAGGGGTTGAACAGCATGTAAATGTCATTTTCAGGTGCGTCTGGTGAAGTGGCCTTTCCCGCCGGGCAGTTTGTGACCACAGTGAGTTTGTACCGTCCAATACAAGCGTTTGGGAGGGAGTAAACCGACAGTCTGAGTGTGGTCTTCGCCTGTTCAACAATCTTTACCTCCCAGGCATCTTTCTTGAATTCCGACACTAGTGGAGCAATTACCAAACTGCCCTTGTGTACGGGTATGTCGTCACCTGCAAAACACACATGCAAGAATCATTGTTTATCAGGTGATACAAGACGGTTTGTGTGGCAAGTGTAAATCGTTTGGTACAGTAAAGCCATGACTGACCAAGTCTCAGCTCCAGATGAAGTTGGTCTCTGTTTGGGACAAAAGGTCTGGACAGCTCAATCGACATCTGGAAACACTGTCCTCTGCGGACGATGAGATGACTGCTAAAGAAGCCATCCGTGTGATGCTCCCGTCGATTCTGTCCTTTGCTGGGCTTGATGAGGTCAATAGATCGTACCTGCAGTACTGCATCTAAACAATTAGACATAAGGACATACATTAATATCTATTTGAAATATAGTTTTGGTGATATCTGTCTTGAGAAAACCTTATGGTTTCAGGTTCATGTGAGTACAACCAAGTACAACATGATCCTTGAACAATATTTCAAACAACCAGTCAGATTTGAGGGACAAGTTTACAGTTAATATCAAGTTTAGGCTTACAACCAGAGTTAGGCACATCTGCGTCACCTATCATTTCCCTCTGATTTTATGGATTAGTTCTGGGTAGGGTTAGGGTTAGTTACATTTTCAGATAGGAATGTTGTTCTAGGATCAACAAAACACGTCTTAGTGAAATCATGATCCGACACTGATTAGACGTGTTTCTTACACTCTAAAAAATGCTGGTTTGTTTGAACCCAAATTTGGGTCAAATATGGACAAACCCAACTGTTGGGTTAAAAATGCAATTAAGAAATGTATAGTTGAAAGTGAAAGTTGGGTTAAAATTTGAAATTACCCAACATTTGGGTTTGTCCATATTTTACCCAAATTTTGGTTCAAACAACCTGCATTGTTTAGAGTGTAGCATGCATTTAGAAAAATTAATTTTGTATTCAAAAACTGCATGTGACATCATCTCTAAAACCTCAAGTACACAACAAACACTAACATATTTATGTGTTTTAATATAATTACCCAGCAATCGTGCTTTCTGTATACTAAATTGATATTCACTCTAAAAAATGCTGGGTTGTTTTAACCCAAATGTTGGGTTAAAATGGCATTTAAAATTTTAACCCAACTTCAACTTTTAATTTCAACTGTGTATTTTTTATTACATTTTTAACCCAACATTTGGGTTTGTCCATATTTGACCCAAATTTGGGTTGAAACAATACAACATTTTTTAGAGTGTACTTAAATGTCTGCTTAAGCAACTCATTTTGTACTTAGTTAGCCAGAAATAGTGCTGAAATTCAACTAGAGATATACTTAAGTATATTTGATTGTGCTAAAGTGGAACTATTGCAAGTAGGTACACTTTAAATATCTTGTATTTAAAGACTGATAATATTCAGAGATCATACTAACTTACTAATAGTGATATTAAAACACATTTAAGGCTTTTCATTAAGTAATGTACATTGTGCAATAAAAAAGTACTCCAAATAAAGTTTATTTATATTTATATCAGTAAGTTTATGTATTTTAAATACATTTGTCAATGCAGCATAATGACAATCAGACCTAATATTTTTTATTATTATGCATTGTAGTATTAAGATATATTGCCCTTACCGTTCACTTCCACACGTGGACCCCTGAGAGGAAGAGAGAGAGACATTTTTAAAGCTATAATTACATACAAAACAACGTTTAAATGGAATTAACTTTTTTTTTGTACCCATACAAGCTGAATTAACTCCAGAAAACTGGAAAAGAAGAGGGTGATAGCTACATATTTTTCTGTCTTTCTCATCAAAATATAAGGATAAAAAAATCCCAAATCATCTGGAATCTAAATTAGGATTATGTGCAAAATTAAACTAGATCACAAACACACACAAAATAAATAGATAGAATAGAATACTTACATGTTTGCGGTTGAATTCATTTAAAGAGTGTGTGTTATTTGAACAGCTTGAACAGCTTGAACTTCAGTCTGGAGGCAAAACCTAAACTCGAATGTGTTTCTCCTGAGCAGCCATGATTTATATATGCACATCTTCATCTCCACCCCATCCACAGCTCAGAGATGAAGAATGTCATGTCTCGTGACAGAAATGTTTGTGTATTTTACATCTTATTTAAATATGGCCTGAGTGCAACCTTTACAGAGTCACTTAAATTAAGGCTGATTTCATTTGTTGTAATGATGTCAAAGGAGGTGTAATTAGAGATAATTATCACAACATTTTAACTGCCTCATTACGACATTAACTTCTCATCTAAATACTTAATTAATAAGCAGGATTTCTATAATAAGGTGGTGAGTCTCAAACACACCGAAATGCACCAAATGAAAGCCCAGTACTAAATGACAAGTATCTTTTATGTTATTGTCGACCCCTAGTGGTCTGTAAAAATGCTAGGGGTCTGTGGGAAGATATAAGTACTTTTCTTAAAATACTGTATGTAAAAACAGTTGTATTTCTTATACATTGTTGTCTCACTGAGGTTAATGGAGCCTTAATTGATGTAATAAAAATTAAACCACAGTAACAATACCATGACATTAACACATCCATCACACAACTCTGTATTAAATATTTAAAAATGCACAATTATTGTGCTTAAATAATGCAAGTTGTTATTAAGTGTGTACTGTTATGGCGAACGTGATTTCACCAAGTAGCCTACCACATGTTTCCGGATCTTTGTTGATCCTGGAACAACTTTCCAATCAACCAATCAGATTCGAGGGACAAGTTTACGGTTTATGTCAAGTTTAGGCTTAGAACCAGGGTGAAGTAGTTAATTTTGCGAGATGTAAACAACACTGGTCCAGAAGCACTTCCTGTTTCAGTTTTTTAACACTATATAAATAAACGTTGGGATAAATTACCATAGATATGTATATAAAGGCTAGATGTGTTACGGCGGAGTTTCCATCGTCATCACCGGCGGCCATCTTGTCACAGACAGGCTTTCTGGCGGGCTCTGTGGTATCTGATGTAAGAAATACTCTTATCTCATTGAAATCTTGACGGATTTACAAACGGTTTGGTTTCTTACAAACGTTATTAACGTGGCTATAATTCTGGATGATTATTTATTTATACACTTATTATTCATAAGTATGCAGTATCATAACTACATCTCTGCCGTTTATAACAAACCAGACTGTTTGAAAACTGAGCAAGTTACGGTGATTTAAAAAGTACACGCACCATTAAAACAATGTTACCAATGAGCGAGCTGCCTGTGACAAGATGGCCGCCAGGTGCTGACGTCGACCTCCATTGGCCAGCAGCGTGGACGACACATCTAGCCTTTATATACATATCTGTGTAAAGTACAACCAACACAACTGAATCAAAAAGTTAAACAAACATCTTTAAGATATTTTCTTTACATTTGAAATAATAAAAAAAAAACAGTTACAAACTGAAACAGGAAGTGCTTCTGGACCTGTGTTGTTTACATCTTGCAAAATGGTCTACAGACCCCTTTTCAGTTGGTAAACATTGTGACGTTTTTTTATGTGGGCGGAGCTTAGGTGGAGGCAGAACGATCCCTCTGCCTGCTTCACTGCTTTAGTTACTAGCAGGTATTGTTAGCTTGTTTTTTAACAATGACTGGAGAAAATACAATTTTATCTGAATGTATAAGGTCACTCAGTGTCCAGGACCGCGATTGTTATTTCCAAAAGTTATATTTAACGGGCGGAACCAGATTGGCCGACCCGTAGCCTTCACACGCTCACTCAATGCATGGACAATCTGACAGGATTAACGTTACGTTACCTCGGTTGAGTGGCCTGACTTCTACACCTACCTTATGGAGAAACTGATCGTAAAGAGAAACTGAGGGCATAGATGCCTATTACTATCTGGTCCTGTACAAGACTTGTGACCTGTGTACGATCCGTAGTTCTGCCGAGCCAGTGCAGAGACGACGACAATGTAAAGAGTGACATTACGGTGCAATTTTAATGTGAATATTTTCTAGAAATAAAAATTCCAGATAGGCCTACAGCATATTAATTTTTCATCAATTCTTGCACCAAACAACTCAACAAGATGATATTTAGTAATAACAATAATTTAAGCTCCTTATTATGTAGCCGAATCTGTGCTGGTTTGTATTGGCCGCCTCCAGTTTTTTTTTGTTTGTTTTTTTTAATTGAAACATTTTCAAAGAAAACAATCACAATATAGAACAAATAAACAGGAAAAAAAAAGACTACAAGACAGTGGTATATAACTAATCAGATAAAACAAATATCAAAAAGATTAAAAGACTTGCATATTTCAACAGTTTTTCAAAGCCTTCTTGTTACAAGAGTCAAAGATATTCCCATGTAGTGTTGTATTTCTATAAGTAAAACATTGAAAAGTGGTATCTGTCCTGAAAATTTACATTTATGTATATAAAATTTTGTCAACAAAGAAAGAAGATTAAGAAGGAATATTTTGTTTTTGTGTAATTGTTCTTTTTTCCCCCGTTAACAAATCCAAACAAAACATTTTCCTGACATAAAGAAAATTCCTTATCCCTCCAGTTTTCACTTTGTTTTGCCTCCAGCTTGCGCCGTGACGTAACTGTGACGGTGGGATAAGGACTATATTTTGGGACAGGAATGTTGATCCAGGAACATGTCTTATGGCAACATCACGGTGTCCGTAAAGCTATAATAATGCATCAGGATTGTTTGTTAAGTCCGCCATCACACACACATTGTAACTGGCATTCCACAGTCCTTCATCTCCTAACCTGAAGACGAACAAGTAATGATGATGGAATGTGCAGCACACACCTTCAGTGGATGATTCAGGCATGTGGAAAAACAACTGCTCATGACTTACATGCTGAATAAAATGATCACGAACATTAATTAAGAGTAGTTCACTTTAAAAAAAATTTGCTGATAATTTACTCACCCCCATGTCATCCAAGATGTCAACGTCTGAAGCAGTGCAGCTACAAAGGGCTTTAAACGACACCAGACGATGAGTAAGTGTCTTATCTATAGCGAAAAAAAAAGTTTAAGTTTTATAAGCATGGTCGCCTTGCTCTGTTCTGTATGCTGTTCGAACTCGTTCATCAAAATGAACAAATCTTTTTTTGAACATTTCATTGATTTCGTTTGTTGGGGGTAAATCAAGAAAAAAGTATACATTATTTACATTATATTACATATTTACATTATCATACATTATATAAAAGTGTATACTTTTTTCTTGATTTACCCCCAATGAATGGAAGTGAAAAGTGACAACATGCCCCAATGTAACATCACCATATGACAGCTCAAAATGCAATCTGAAGTCAATTGGTTTATTCAACAAACAAAATCAATGAAATGGTTAAAAATCAATGAAATCAACTGTACATAATTGTACCTCATAATTGTCTTAATAAAACAAAACCATATCAATGTACTAGACATGTAGGAAATTAATGTGGGCAAAAATAAATACTCTAAACCCAAAGTAGATTTACACAAACTGAGAAAGTCAAAAAGCGTTACGTTGTGCCCCGCTCTCCCCGATTAGAAATAAAGTTCATGTTTGGACCCTCTGCAGTCTTACGTTTTCATGTGTATTTTGTTTCTTCCATTGTCTATGCTTGTCTATGTTTATTTATTGTCTATACATAATAAAAGCAGTAAAAAAGTACCTTAAAAAATAAATGTTTCCTGAGAAAATAAGCCAGATTTCTGAGATATAAACTGAAACTCTGCAAGGGAAAATTTTTTTTCCATGTTATCAAAATATTATCCATGCATTGTTTTTTCAAGCATTATTAAAACACTTTCCATCATTTCAGGAAAGAAAATAATACACATCATAACTAAAATGTATTATGACATAGGCTACATATTAATAATCTGGCTTGTGATCAATTAAATGATGAATATGTAATATATTTTGTTACACTGTAAAAAATTTGGAGTAGGATTTACTTGAAAAAAAGCTTGCTAACCTTTTTCACTCAGAAAATGCTAGTAATTTTACAAAGATTTGCCAAGTAAAAACCTAAACATATTTATCAGTAGCTTTAATTAGAAATCTTTAAGTTAGGAAATAAGTAAACTTTACAAAAAATAAGTAATTTTAACTCGGCTATAAAAAGATTGATTTATATTGATTTCCTTTGCCTTTGTATTACATTTCACTAAAACAATAATATTGAATTTTATTAGTCATTTATAGTGTGTGCTTTACTTAGATCACCTATTACATCATGTCAGATGTTAAACATCATGTGAATGCAAACAAATCAATACTTGGTAGACAATACACACTGGCGGTAACATTTGATGGGTCGTTTTTGTGTCTGAATGCGTCATTTTGAGCAAAAAATGTACTCGAAATGTCACAAAATGGCAAGTTACTAATACTGACAACAAAAATCAATGATAAAACAGTGTAAATAGGCTACAGCTGGAAACCAGTGAAAAATGAACCTCGTTAATTATTTAAGGTCCAGTGCATGATGGGAACCCCAGTATCAGAAAAGTTGAGTAATTTTTACTTCATTTTATTGAGTTGATATTTACACTTTCAATTTTATACTTGCTTGAATTAAGTACTGATATGGAATTTACTTAGTTTTTTTTTTTTTTAATTCTTGCCTGAACTAACTTCATCAAGTTTTTTTTCACTAGTACGTTGGTCAGATTTTCACCAAAATCGAATCCTATCATCTCCATACGTGTCAACTGAAAGTTATGGATTGCGTGACGATAGACCAAACCGTTTTCGTATCCCACAGCTTCAAAGTTGAGGCATGCTGCCAAAATGACTAATTAGGCTTTATCTCTGCAATGTCTTCACATTTTGACACCAAACTTAAACTTATGTGTCCTCACTCTGATCACAATGTATGATTTCAACCTATTGTTCGAAAGTGACAAACCATTAAATCATTTTATAAGTTACTGTATTTATAATTTAAGCCATTTTGCCTTAATTCATCTTTAAATGTCCATAATAGCTTCTTGCTGCTGTTGGTCTGAAACTCCCAGCGATGTTGGCATGTCTTGTCATCTGCTTTTGTGCTTGGCCCCGTAATGGCTGCTTGCAGCTATATTTTTAACTTCTTATCGTTATCAACACACTGGATTGTAGCACAAATAGTTTTAGTTTCCTGCACTTTGTTATTGTTCTTGATGAATCAGAAGTTCACAAAAAATACTTTTCTTGCGCATTGCAAAATTACAGAGCCCCTAAAGGGACAGGTGGATAGAACAAAATATAAGATGAGTGGAAAAAGTAGCCTGACTACTGACCTTGTGTATGAAATAAATGACAATGAGTATGTAAAAATGACATATTCCTAACTACAGAGAAAGAAATGGTTATCTGGACTTATTCAATGTGCTTTAATGAGGCGATTCTTTGTTTTAGGTTGCAATAGCGTCACATTATCGAGGAACAGCACGAATTTGGAAAGGTTCAGGGGCAGACGCGATGGCAACTGTTCTTTTGAGACTCAGCGTTTGTCCCTCAGGAGGCAGAAAGGTAAAACGCTGCATCAGCGAGATGAAGAAGAGGACGAGCTCCATTCCAGCGAGCTGCTCACCTGGACACATCCTCTTACCTGGAAATCAAGGTCTGGAGGTTAACTTTAGAAAATCTCATTTTAGTGTATTTTAGTTTATATACGCTATCGTTCAAAAGTGTTGGGTGAGTCACTTTTTACATTTCATTCAGCAAGGACGCATTATATTGATCAAAAGTGAGAGTAAAGATGCATAGGGATGAAAGACATCGGCCGATATATGTTCAATGTTAAGAAAATTTGGCAGATATATTGAAGCTGATAAATAATGGATTATTCCTCTGTTCAACATGGTTTTGAATTGCTTGAAATATGACTGGAATCACTTCAGAAAAGGAAAATACAGTAAAGTGCAACATGTGCAGCATTTAGGCTCTCAAAAATTATATACAAATTTGGATGGAGATTTGTCGGCCAATATATTGGTGCCGGACAATTTTCATAACAGTGCATAGACGTTACAAAATATTTCTGTTTCAAAGAAGTGCTGCTCTCAAAAGAATCCTGAACATTTATCAGTTTCTACAAAAATATTAAGCAACACAACTGTTTTCAACATTGATCCACAATTCAGCTTATTAGAAGGATTTCTATATGAAGGATCATGTGACACTGAAGATGGAGTAATGATGCTGAGCATTCAGCTTTGATCACAGGAATAAATTACATTTTAAAATATATTACAAGAGTAAACAGTTATTTTAAATTGTAATTTTTGGACTGTATTTTGATCAAATAAATGCAGCCTTGGTGAGAAGAGACGAGAAGAGAAGAGAAAAAAAAAAAGTGTACTGACCCCACATACATGTAAACACACATACACCATGCATATGTGTGCATGTATTTTTTATTTTGGCTTGTTTGTATTTCTTATGACCTACCTATTGAATAGGGGATGAAATTTTCTCTCTTCAAAAATTTGCCATTTTCATCCAGAAAGTGTGCAGGATTGAATTCATCCGGAGTGCTGTACTCGTTCTTATCCAGCAGGATTGGCTTCAGCATCGGCAGCACCATCACACCCTGTCATAGGACAAAACATAGAACATTAAACAAAGTGTTTGTTTACTGAAATATAATCATGTTTATCTGTATAATACATTGTTTTAAAAAATCTGTACGTTCACCAAATTCAACCCTTGTGCTTAAATTTGAAAAAAAAAAAAAAAAAAGTACAAAAATTTGAAGCTTGGGTGCCGTGTCATTTTTTATACATTTTATTTTTTTATGTTATATTTAGATCCCATCAAAGCTTTATATACACAATGCTGGGATTTATAGGCCAAAGCTTAATTAAAAAAATTTCATTCTGTGTTTAAATCTGTGTTTACATAATATATTTGTGTGTGCTGTATATAATTATTTTGTATATATAAATACACACACATGCATGTATATATTTAAGAAAATGTGTTATTCATATATATATATATATATATATATATATATATATATATACAGAATTTAAGCGCAAATAATTCTTAAATAAATACACATGCATGCATAGGTATTTATATATACAAAATAATTATATACAGCACACACAAATATATTATGTAAACACAGACTTTTATTTTGGATGTGATTAATCGCAATTAATTTTTGCACAGCCCTAATATATACACACTTTTATAGCTAAATGGCCCCGGGATTAAAAATGATAGTTTTAATGGGTTTCAATGGGGACATATTGTCCTTTAGGTCTTAAGTGTAACTATTTTGAGTTGCCAGTGCAAAATAGATTTATGAAAGGAAATGGGGATGAAATTAAAATTCCACAAAAAAAAAAAAATAAATAATACACTTTTCTGCCAAAATATATACATTTGGCAACTGGCATTAACACACTGGCAATATATGAAGAGTTCAGATGCAAAAGCCTCTAAATGCCATTTGAAATTTTCTTCTTTAATGATGATTTTTATCAAGCTTGTATATTTAAGTTCAGTGATTTCACTTAAATGGCAATGATATTTACCTTATTTAAGTGAAATTACTGAACTTAAATATACAAGTTTGATAAAAATCATCATTAAAGAAGAAAATTTCAAATGGCATTTAGAGGCTTTTGCATCTGAACTCTTCATATATATATATATATATATATATATATACTGTATATATATATATATATATATATTAGTTAAATCTCCTTAAGGACGCACAACATTAACAAAGATTTAAATCTTGTACAGTACAGTAATGCAGTAGCTAATGAAAGATAAATCAATAAAAAAAAACTTTCTTGCAAAACTTTAAAGAAAAAATGTATTCTTAATTTAGATTTAGAAAAAAGCTTCACCTTTGGAATGAGGCATCCTGCTACTGTGGTGTCTCTGCTGGCAACTCTCGGTGGAATGAAGGCAAGAACATTCGCAAACCTCTGAATTTCATGGATCACAGCGTAGGTGTACGGCAGATGTGTCCTGTCTTCCATCGACGGCTGACGTGTCTGTCCAATCACCTGATCGATCTCAGACTGGACTCTCTCTATGGAAAATGAACAGGCAGAGTATGTGGACACACATTTGACTAACAAGAAAGTCACATGAGCAGAGCGGCCCACCTTGCACATCTGGATACTTGGCCATGTAGAGTAAAGCCCAGCTGAGTGATTTAGCCGTGCTTTCTGTTCCGGCTCCAAACAGATCCAACACACAGTGTATCAGGTTCTCCTCTGTGAACTCGGCCTCACTGTCCTTACACTGGGATTCAACCATGGACAGAAAGAGGGGTTAAAAAGATTTGAAATACACAAATTAAATGCATATAAAAAAATTAAGAATCGAATCGAATTAATCGAATCGCATCGAATTTGGATGTGAATCACATCGAATCGAATCGTTCTGAATTTGCACAAATCGTTCATGAATCGAATCGAAAACCTATGAATCGTGAATCGAATCGATTCGCTGTCTACCCAAAGATTCACAGCCCTACAAATTATCAGTCAACAAAAACTAAGGTTTCCTGAAATCATTATGCCAGGATCTGCTAAAACCGGTTACCTTCTCAATTTCATCCAGATAACAGTCAATGTAGTCTCTAGGACACGAAGGGTTTCTGTCCTCTTTGTGCTTCCTGATTTCATCCAGAAAAAAGAGCTTCAGCTTGGAAAGGTTGGCAAATGTAGTCTGGTGCTTTCCTGGCAGCAATGACATCACGGCGGGAAACGTGTTATACAGCTGTCGAGGGACAAATACATTTGATCGTCAGTATTTCATCAATCTTCGCAGTAAATCTCACATTTCAGAACCATTGATCTCAGTAAACATAACAATAATCATGATTTTTTTAAAATATGTTCCTGGAAAGGTTTGGTTCATGTTGTCGACAGGTCAAGAAGACGCCTTTTTCACTTTAAATGGACGAGGATTCGCACGGGACTTGAAACGGTAAAACGGATGCCATCGTTACTGTTCAGATCACAGTGTGGTATGGCAAGCTGTTTTAGCTTTTATTCATTTCAAGGATATGAATTATTGATATCAACAATTACATTTTTTGATATCAACAATTCAATTGCTGATATCTGTAATTTTATTTTCACTAGTGAAATGTCACCATAGGCTGCCATTCAAAATGAATTGTTGATATCAAGAATTGATTTTTTACTAGTAGAAATACATCATTTTTGATATCAATATTGATATTTGAAATATTGATATCAAAAATGAACATTGTTACTAGTAGCAATTCAATTGTGGATATCAAGAATAGACATTTCAACTAGTAACAATTGAATTCTTGATATCAAAAATAAAGGTTTTTTATGGCAAGCCGTTTTAACTTTTAATCATTTCTGATATGTGAGATTGGAATTTCAACTAGTAAGAAATCAATTCTTGATATCAACAATTGGTTTTGAATGGCAGCCTATGGTGACATTTCACTAGTGAAAATACAATTGTTGATATCAAGAATTACATTTTTGATATCAAGATATCAAAAATGTAATTGTTGATATCAACAATTGAATTCTTGATATCAAAAATGTAATTTGTGATATCAAGTTGATATCAACAATTAAATTGTTGATATCAAAAAATGTAATTGTTGATATCAAGAATTCATATCCCGGAAATGAATGCTGAGGAAGATCAGAGCTGAAATTCAGATATTGTAATAGACATTTGGTTTCTGACATGCATTGCAAGTGGTCGACCAACTGCCCAATCAGAGCAGGGCAGGCTCTTGGAAAGAAGGAGTTTAGAAAGACAATCCTTTATCGAAGTAATTCAGACACTGTGAGAAAAGAGCTGATACTGCCATGTATATTATGATAAAATGTACGTTTTTCTGACCTTGGAATCATGGAAGTCTATTCTAGGAGGCTTAAAACAATGAAAAAGGTCCATTATAGTAAATTTTGGTCTCGTACCCGGCCCCAGGCGTTGATGGGAAGCTTGAAGGTGTCATCTGAATACTGCAACAGCTCATGAAAATGATGGTCGTCATACTCAAACTTGTGGCCAAAAACCAGGCTGCATATTATATTGCCCACCGCGTAGTTCAAGATGTGATGAGGATTGAATGGCAAACCTTGGAAAGCAAAAGAGAGGAGGAATGGTTACGGCTGCAAAACGTACTTTCAAATCTTCGCCTGTAGAGAGCAGTATACTGCACTTGTAGCCTGTTCAGATGTTTGAATTCAGGCAGAAAGCTGGTGCTCTGACCTTGCTTGGTTTGAAAAGTACTACAGACAAAGAGACACTCCTGCAGGATGGAGTTTTCTAGCGTTTTCTTGCCCACACCGAAATACTTCAGTGTTGCCAGAGCAAAACGCCTCTGATGCCGCCACATGTGCCCACCGGAGAAGATCAGACCTACATATAAAGAGACAGACAGAGCAAAATCTATGATTGTGGAAGTGTATTGCATTGAGGCTACTGTATGTAATCCCATTGGTAACATCTATTATTTATGGTGACCTGCGAATTTGCCGCTGGTTCTAATATTTGAGCTCTTGAATCCTTCAAATTGTTGGTTTGTAAATGTGGGCAGTCATGTGTTAACCAATGTGGTTTCCTTCCATGCATTTATTAGTGGACATTTTGCATCATATAGTCCAATTATATGCTCATGTTGGAGTTTTGAATTCTGGAACTAAGTTCTCATAGTACTAAATGAATGAACTTGCTTCTTTATCTAGAGACAGGAAAATTCAATTTCTCACATTATATTAAATCCAGGATCACTGTAACGATCTACAGAATGTGTGCCATGAACAGTTCTGCATGTTTTCAATGACAACGCTTGCTATTCAAGCAACTGCAAAAGGTAATTTTTCCAATTATAAAACAGTTCTGGTGCACTGATTGAAAATGATAGCAAAAATGTTGATATTGCGGACAACAACACTAAAATTTCAGTTCAATTTCAGCAAAAAATAAACAAATTCGTCGTGTCTGAAAGTCGCCTTGAATAAAACGCAAATTACAAGATGTTTCCTGACGTTCCACAAAAAGATGAATTATTGGTGAGCAGTTTATGATTGATAACAGAAACAGACTTAATGTTTTTGAACGTGTATGGTGTTCTTTTAGCTGTTTTTACCTTTCCCGTTACAGATTTTGTCATTCACAGGGAAGTACGGCCGATCCGTGAAGATGTCCGCCTGTTCCACAAACGCCTCTTTGAAAGTCTTGTATCCAGTGAGCAGTATGCAAGGCTTGTTTCCCAGATAAAATGTGCTCACATCTCCATACCGCTCAGCAATCTGATCAACATGTCAACATGTAAATGTACACAACTCATTTAATAAATATATGCATATGAAAAAAGACATACCTTCGGAAAAACATCCATTGGATCACTAAAGCCTATACTCATTACGTTTCCAAACAAAGGCAGAGGGAAGGGTCCTGGCGGCATGTTCTTTGACTGAACATCTCGCAGGTGTTTCACCAACAGCAGCACACACAGAAATATCAGGAGTCCCTGAACATCCATCCACTGACCCATCAGCTGTGACAACACTGACGCCATGCTTCCTGAGACCAGAGAGACCATTACACACATGTTTTTTTCCGTTTAAAATACTTAAAAACAATAACAATATTTATTTAGGATGACAGTTTAGCTATAAGTATGCATTATTAATATAATTATTATTATTTTTGTAAAAATAATTACAAAAATTATTTTTCATTTATTTATTATTATAATTGTTGTAAATTATGTGTTGAATTGTTCAATGTGCTCTAAGACTGGTAATAAAATGTGTGGAAATATTTTTTCCCCTCTTTTAGTTCATATATCGTCAAGTCAAGTCACATTTATTTATATAGCGCTTTTCACAATACAGATTGTATCAAAGCAGCTTCACAGTGATAACATGAAAGTAGTACAACACAGATCAATAATATTGTTAAATATTAAATACTAAATAATATATCATGCAATAGAGGGATAAGTTATTTTCAGAGGGCGTATGAAGTCAGGTTCAGCGGATGTAGTTCATAACATTAGCATGTTTTACTTATTTTAATGCACTTTCGCATTGTTGGGGCACCATTTGCCCAAGTTTTGAACACGACTTAAGCACATCAAGTTCCCAAACAGTTTTGCTAGACACACTCACAAAAGTTGTAGTGTTTTATACACAACAATATACTACTGCAAAGATATGCCAAGTTGTAGATGAAGGGAACAAGGTTGTGCTTACCGACCCAGCCAACATTTGTATGTGGGGCCCATATGGGTATGAAATGGGCTGAAAAATGGGCCCCATGTAGGATTGTCCGCGGGTTACATAATGGCCCCATGTTAATTGCCCAGATAAATTTCATGTTGGATTGCACTTGGTACTACGCCGGACCCAAGTGGGCAACATGCACAAGACCCATCTCGGTCCCAGCTTTAACCCAGCGATATTTATATGTGGGGCCCATGTGG